TACGCACAGTGCTGGCCACCATCCGCAGGCAGCCCAAAGAGACTGGCGGCATTGCTGCGATACATCGAGGACATCAAATAGTCCCACTGATCACTGCAGCCAGGCAGCCTAGAGATGCGGCCTGTTTGCTCAGTGCTTTCAAGGGAGTGAAGGTCAGCTCTTAACGGAGCAAGTGGAAGGAAGCTTCTTCCTGTACGGATATTGCTAATATAATGTGTTGTTCAGCTTCCTTGATTGCCTGCTGCCAGCTGCTTGTAATGGATTAACCCCCAAGGATTGGTCCAGTGATGGGACGTGTTGTCATGGATGCTTTTGAGGCCCTTGAGCTTTCAGAGGTGAGGTGGGGGTGTCCTGTTTTAAAGGGCTTAAAAGGGACATTTACACTAGCATAACCAGCTTTTTATGCTGGTGTAATCAAGAGCAGGACAAAGAGAAAGCTGAGGGGGGATCTAGTGGCCTGTTACAAACTAGTCGGGGGGGACCAACAGGCATTGGGGGAATCCCTGTTCCCCCAAGCATGACCAGGAGTGACCAGGAATAAGGGTCAGAAGCTGGCAGAGGGGAGATTTAGGCTAGACATCAGGAGGCGCGACTTCACGGTCAGGGCGGCTAGGATCTGGAACCAACTTCCAAGAGAAGTGGTGCTGGCTCCTACCCTGGGGGTCTTTAAGAGGAGGCTAGATGAACACCTTGCCAGGGTTGTTTGACCCCAGTACTCTTTCCTGCCACGGCAGGGGGTCGGACTCGATGAGCTGCTCAGGTCCCTTCCGACCCGACCAACTATGAAATCCTCCCTGGGTGGAACAAACTCGCGCGGGGTGTAGAGTTACCACAGAAAGTACCAAGGGTAAAACTGCACTGGTGCAAGTGTCATCTGTTCTTTTCATGGTGCATTTGGCTAGCGGCAGATCTCGTGCGGATCAGCAGTTAAATGTGTTGGTACCAGGTGACTGGAGGAGCAGTGTGGTGGCTGCCTGTGGGGGAGCACAGTAACCTGAAGGGCATCCCTTATCTGTGATCTCCCAAGAGCTCATAGCAGCGCCGAGAGGCGACTGCGTGGCATATGGCAGTACCACGTGGGGGTACCCAAGCTGACTCTGGGAGCAGCCTGGTCTCAAGTGCATGCCAGAGGCCTGTGATAGATAACAAGAGCCTCAAGTAGGGAGATGTGATTTGCAGCCGCGGTGTAGATTGCTCAGTGCGTGTGTCCGTGATTGCTACTGTGCGTATTTGGCCTCCCTGTTTGAGATGGGGTCAGGCTGCGTGCTGAATGGCTAGTGAGATCTTTGCCCTTCCTGTCGCTGGTGTGAATCCGGCCTACGCTACACAATGGCTAGAAAGCATTACCATTTGGCGGTGGCCTGTGAGGAATGAGTTTGGGCCTCCATCCAGTTCCTGGAAGTTTCCCAGAGACTAAAACCATGGCTCCACATGGCAGTCCCTGCACTGGCTGTCCAGCAGAGCAGGCCGGGGCTGACAGAGCCCTGGCAGGCTTGCATCGCTTCCCCATGCCTGCGTGTCAGGGCTGAGGCACTAATGTACTCGCTAATGGAGCCGATCTGCCAGGCATAGCCTGGAGCACGCTGCCTCGTTATGTTAATGTGAAGGCATGCTTTATTAAAAGCCTTCAGCTTTCAGGTCCTTGACTTGACGTTTCCTTTGTGGGCTGCTCTTAGAAAATCGAAGCACCGACTTGCAGCACTGCACAGAGCCACCATGCTCTCAGCTGCAGCATTCAGGCTCCCAAACGGTGGGTTTTCTTAATGGGAGCTCTTCATTTCTGCTTCCTGCCGTGGTGCCAGCAGTTCATCCATCACTGTTGGTCCTATGAATTTCCTCAGCCCTGCACCCTTTCCTCCCCTTGACACACAAACCTCCTCCGCAGATGTCTCAGTGCTGGCGTAGGGGGCAGGGAAACAGCAAAGACATCAGCTAAGGGTGGTGAAAGACTCAGTGGAGCTATCAGTGAGCACATCCACAAGATGAAGGAAATGATGTGGTGAGACCTGCCTGCTGCTGAGCTCCAGACGTTGTTCTTCTGCTTTTCCCATGATTTAAGAGGTATTTGAAAGGGGTTTTCAGATTTCTGGAGCAACCCTCAGAGTTACGAGCTGTGGTCTTAGAAGCTGGGTCTTTGAGTTGAATGGGAGCAGGAGCGTGGCCCTAAGCAGAAAATACCAGTCTGTCTCCTGGAGCCGCTTAGCCACGTTCCCCATGTTTGCAGGCAGATTTAGGTGCTTCCACGGGAAGGACGGCAAAGCTGCGACTGCCGTTTTCGTGCTGTCCCCCAGTCACTTTGTGAGGTGTTGTTCTAGTCCAATCGCTTAATTTAAAAAAGAGAGAGAGAGGAAAGAGTAGAAAGCAAACCCAATCTGCAGCTCCTCGTTTGTAACCGTGACAGCTTGCAGCCTGGTTCTCTCTCGTGGCCCCGCGCTGCTCCGACTGCAGAGTCAGTGCAGGAGGAAAAGAGACGACCGAGTCGCGTTTGGCAGGTTGCATGTGCATTTCCCCGCTTCTCGCCTCCTGCGGTCAAATCCATCATCTCCAGGGAGAGCCGTTTGCTCTGTGCTCAACCCTGCTATTTGTCTTTCCGCATGTTCGTCTCGTGGCTTCAGAGCAGCCTTCCCACCTCAGTCAGCCTTCTTGTTGGTCGCGATGCGTCGGCATAAAAATACCAGGTTGTGTGAAGAAGGACCTGTTGCCAAGGAGCGAGGTTGTCTCGGTCCCTTGTGTCAGTCTGAAATGCCACATCAATCTCGGCGCACCCGGGCGCTGCGTGGAGAAAATGCGTTGCGACTCCTCTCTAACTCCACAATTCATCTGCCCCGCCGCCTGGGACGCAGAGTGCCTCTGTTTCGTTCGATCGCTTGTTGCAGGAGCTCGGCGCTTGCTTGTCCCTAGCCACCCTATATGCCGGGCACAAAGGTGCCTGCTGCACATGACAGGTGGAGCTACCGCGACTTCTCGGGGCTCTTGGTGGTCCCAGGAGCTGCCTTTGGCCTTTGCCCGGGGCTAAGGCTCCTCTGCAGCACATTTGTACAATCTACAAACTCAGCGTGAGTTGGACAGGGGTGTTCAATCGTGCATCTTGCCTAGGTAGCTGCTCAGATCCTACCAGGGTCTGTCCTGTCCCCAAGACACGGGTAGGTGGAAGAGCTCTGTGCAGGCAAGGTGGTGGGGAACCACTGGGAGAGCACGAGGATAATCCTCGGTGCTCAAGACCCAGCACGGAAAAGGAGGTAAGGGAGGCCCGCTGACCTTGGGTCACTGTTGGGGACCATTGCCATTGCGCCTCCAGCATGAGCGAGCACGGCAGGGAGAGTTTCAGTTGCCTTTGTGGTCGTGCACCTTATTAGCAAGCTGTTTCATGAAAGGACTTCCCTTTCTTTTTTTGCAAACGGGAAACATTAGAAGGAACCTGAGGCCCAGATTGATGCTGCGTGATCGCTAAAGCCACCTTTTGGCCCGTGACAGCGGGTGTGCACCTGAGATCACCTCAGGGGGGTAGGCTGTAGCAGTGTTGGTGTAAGGACACGGGCAGATCAGGGCTCTTTAGACAAATCTGGTAACTTATTGGACCAACTCAAATCGAAATTATTTGGTCTAATAAAAGATATGAGACTTGCCCGAAGAACCCAGTGTGCCTGAGATCACCTTGGACTTCACTCGTGAAGCTCATCTGTTTAGCTGAGGAGTGCTGCTGGGCAGGGACTTCCTCTGGAAAGTGCTTACAATGCTTTAGATGCTGTTGGGCTAAGGGTGGGAGGTAAAAAGTCCTCCTTACGGGTCTGTTCTGGCTGCACGTTGAAGGGTGTGAATTCTTATCTGGGGAAATCTCTGCTCGTGAACTAAGTGAAAGCACACCTCTAGTATGGACTACATTTCTCAGACCTCTCAACAGCAAAAGGTGCTGACATGACACGGACAGAAGTAGGTGTTAAATGATCACTTGGCTAAAGGTTACCGAGAGCGCAAAGATGGCAATCTGTGACACTGCAAATGCTGAAGCAGCGTTATGATGCAGTGTACAAGAGATTGTAACTTGGTGTTGTGGGGTGAAGTTTAGGAGAAAGTAGGTTGAATATTTGCAATGAGAACCAGCAAACTGTGGGAGTAGTCATGCCAGGGAAGGGTGGAAAGCCTTTTGCGTGGGAAGTGAAAGACTGAGCTTTCCACGAGAACACCTTGCTGAGGACAACCCTGTCATGACCTCCGGGGACCTACTCGATGACACCTTGCAGCTCTGGCCCTGGTTACAGACTGTCACAAGGATGCTTGTACCGTTTTCTTCCTTCTGTCGGAGGACGATCTGGGCACGGGGAACTGGTGAAGGTTGCAGACGGGGTCTGAGGAGAGATGGAAGATTTAAAGATAATGTTTCTCTCTCTGTGCTCTTAAAGGTTCATAATTTAGAGGAACCTGGCACTTTCAGATTCACTTTTGCAATGTGGCAGCTGCAACTCGCAACAGCCTTGATGGGAGCTGCACCCGTATTAAATGGGGTTAAATTCCACTCGCACGAAGAACCGGGTTACACGGGAAGACTCCTTGACTTGCAAAGCGGGTCCATCCCATCCAAGAACTTAGTTCTTTGCAGTTGAGTCCTTTAACTCAGACCTTAAGTACCAATATGTAACTTGTATAATTTAAAAATTTTGGATTTAATGGTAACCAAATGAAAGTAATATCAGCTTCTCTGTAATCCGGAGGCCTGGAAAGGTGTTTCCAAATTCCTTAGAAGTGCTCTGCTAGAAACAGTTATTTCAAAAACAAGCCATTTTCTTGCAGTGCTTGTGCCCTTGATGTCGGGTAGTTAGAAATGTGTGTTGGAAACGAAACTCACTGGTTTCAGCTACAAAGCTAAGCAGCATGCAGATCAACCGCAGAAAATATCTACCCATTGCTTCCAAGCCCTTACCTTTGCCCAGTCGGGTGATGTCACAAGCACAGGTTGCAATAACCCAGCGTGGTTGAGTTACAGCGAAGTTATTTTTCTATTGATTTATGTTTTGGAGTCAGCATTTAGCTGCATGCAGAAAGTATCTGTCAGTTGCATCGACTGTTTGTCTTGCTGTAGGAAGGTGTTTTTGAGAGTGAAGTATTTTGGATCGCTCTCACAAGGGCCAAATTATCTTTACTCGGGCAAATTCCCAAGACATCCCATTGGTCAGTGTTGGGACTGCACAGAAACTGAGCGAGGGCTTTGAGATCTGGATCCCTGAGAGAGCGACACGCACCTACGTGGCCGTGGAAGCTCAGCTTCGTTCTGGCCGAGTGCAGGGGAAGGGAAGAGAGAGCATTTTTTGGGGGCTGCCAGGATTTATCTCTGGAAGAGGAGCTCTCCGCATAGCTGATCTGGGGATGATGCCTCAGCTGTGACTGCAGCACTTGCTCGTAAGGACTGAGCTGCTGCTGCCGCTGCCTGAGAGCAGCTGAGAGGAGGGTGGAGATTGGCAGCTCTCTGCTGGAGCTGCTGTGTCAGGTTTCAGTGCAGAGCACGTGTGGATCATTCAAGCTGAGTTCACCGCTGCTTGCAGCTGTCACCGACAGGCCAAGCAGGGAGGATGGGGCAGGTCGCCTGGAAGAGTTTGTTCGTGTCGCTTTTTGATTATAAAACGGAGAAGTATGTCATTGCAAAGAACAAGAAGGTGGGGATCCTCTACCGTGTGGTGCAGCTCTCCATCCTGGCTTACCTTGTGGGGTAAGGGACACGGTCTCCATTTCGTCTGCCCGCTGCGTACTCGGGGGGGTTCACCTGGCTGCAGCCAGAGATTGGATGTGCAGCGAGGGCTTTCTTGGGTTGTGGTTTGCTTGGCTGACTTAATGCGAATGGCTGCATTTGCTGATCATTGCTGGGGTTTGCGCATGGGTGGATGCGTTGAAGTCCAGGTCCCCCCTAGAAGCTCTGAGAGCCCCCTCTCCCATTTGAGATCCACATTGGTTTTAAGAATGTGATCGTGACCTTAAAAATATAGTATTCCTGCCTTCATCGGCCGTGGTGGCAAACCACTGCCAGTGACCCTGTTGGAAGCTGGAGCGTTTATCGCCGGTATCGCCAGCTCTGGGGAGGTGGCAGGGAAAGGGCAGTGCTGCAGGGCTCCCTCCGGCGCTGGATGCTAGGTGAGATAGTGTCCGTGTGCGTGACTCGACTGCAGAGGGGACAGCACCAAGCAGCAGATTCCTTTGCCTGGAACCGGCTGTGGAGATAACGAATGCGGGGAGGTTGCATGCACATCACGTGCCCTCCATACATTTCTGAGCAGGGCTGTTGGCATGGTGATGGGGTTAGCACTGCCAGATAACGGCTTGGCCCTGCACGCAACCGAGTGCCCTCGGGTCTTGAGCTCTGCGACCCAGGATTAGCGTGTAACGCGTGGGCTCTTCCTCCCTTAGTATCTGGAAGGATGCTGCCCGTAAGCACCTGCGGCTTAGCTGTTTGCCCTTCGAGTCCTCACCACTCCTCTCCCCCACTCCGTTTTAACTGAATAAATATAGCAGAGTCACTCTGCCTGCCAGGTTTATTTATAGTCCCAGCACTACTTAGCAGAGCAGAGATGGAGTCTCAGCAGGCTGGCATGCGCTCGCTGCTGAGGAAGCCGTCCACTAGCTGTGACACCCTTGGGAGAACAGGATGCTAAAGGCTCCTGGCAGGGAGCCTGGGTGCTTGTGACAGTCCCTCTCTGGTGTGTGTGGCTCTGTGAATCCTTCTGGTACCGCGGAGCCTGTGCCAGGTTACCCTGCTTGCTGCTCCTGGGCTGCGCTTGCATTTAGCAGCCGCGATGAATGTCGTTAGCCCGATCGTTTTAGTGCCGTTCAGATGAGGGGCTTTGGGCATTGCATTGGGCTTACGGGCCTGCCCTGACCAGTGACGTCTGGGGACAGGATGTTGTTTTCTTTCCCCACCGAGTGGGGAGAAGCCAGAGCCGAGTCTGGGAGACAGGCCTGGCAGGTGCTACCTGGGAAATGTGCTCATCTTGGGGGGGATTAGGGAAGTGTGGGAATTTGCTGGGAGGAGAGGATGGAGGGAACGTTCTCGCTTCAGTCCTCATCTGCCTCTGGGAACAGGCATGAATGAGTTGGGCGTGTGTTGTTGTCCCTATTCCTCCTGGCAGCTGCCGACGCATCCAGGCCCCCGCAGAGCTGGCCTGCCCCTCCTCTCTGCAGCCTGCCCTCTTGCTGGTCTGAGGGTCTTTCCCGACTTGTGATTGTGGCAGCGGGCAATCCAAGCTCTGTGGCAGCCCGTGGCTCAGGAGCTGGCGGGCACTTCAGTTCTCCGCACAGGGGTCTCACTGCTGGGTTCCTGCCACCGGCAAGGCTGGTGATGCAGTTTTCTGGGAAGTGGCCACCCCAACAGTGAACCCTGCCCAGGGGGTTACTTAAGCTCCCCTGGGCAGGATTCCCGGTCCACTGGCCCAGGAGTGAGCCCAGAGCCAGATGAGAGCATTCCCTGTGGATCGCTCCGAGCAAGCCCCTGCCCGGCTTCCCGAGCTGCGTGTCCTGGGCAATGACTGCTGCAGAGCTGGCAGTCCTGTAGCAGGTGGCAACATGGGTGCAATCAGCTGGCACCCAGAAGGGCTGCTGGAGTCTCAACTCTGCCCAAAATATGCCCAAATGAGGGTCACCCCTATTAGTGCTGAGCACCTTGTAGGTGTCTGGCACAGTGGGAGGAGACTGACCCGGGACCAGACCCCCAGCTCTGCCCCATGGAGGTGAACAGGGGCTTTTCCTGGATTAGGCTGCATTTAGGCTTTGGCTCCAAACACCAAACACAGGCTGCCTTCGTTACCCAGCTGTGCCTGGCAACCTTGAGCAGGAGCCTGGGCTCTGCCCTGCACAAGTGGACCTCGGGCAAGTCGCTTCTCACCAATGCCCTGTGTTGCATTAGCCATGGCTGTTTGGGGCTCTGGACACCACAACAGAGGTCGTTCAGGGATTTGCTGGGCAAGTCGGTCGCACTAAGGTGCTTATTCTGAATTTGGCTGAGGAGTCGGTGTCGCTGGCGAGGGTCTGATTTGCCCTTGAATTGCACTTTGCCTCCAAAGGAGCCTTCTCCCTGGGGGCAAGGGTCCTTGAGACCCCTTCTGGACTGGTGCTCACTGCAGATGGTTGGGATCAGACTTGGAAAGGCCCTTGGGTCTTGCCGACCTGCTCATGCACTGTCCCAGCTAACACTGTCACCGGCTTCTCTATTCGCAGGTGGGTGTTTGTCATCAAAAAAGGCTACCAGGACGTGGACACCTCCATCCAGAGCTCTGTCATCACCAAGCTCAAAGGGGTGGCCTTCACCAACACCTCGGACATGGGAGAGAGGCTGTGGGACGCGTCCGATTATGTCATCCCCCCACAGGTTTGCTCTGTGGCCCTGGTCCCTTTGCTTTGTCCGTCAGCCTCCCCACCTGGATAGACGGATTCCAGCTCGGTTGCTACTGGGGAGAGGGATGTAGGGCAAACAGCCTCGGGGTGCCTTAAAGCCTCAGGGCTTTCCTGCAGGTCTGGACCGCAGACCTGGTTGAAGCATTTAGCAAGGGAAAAACTACATTGATTTCTCTGCATAAAGTGAAGCTGGTGCTTCAGTGCATTGCAGGTCTGGGGTCAGGCTGAATGCGTGCTGCACTTACTCATGCCTGCTCTACCAAGGGGAGCCCTGGGGAGGCGAAGGAGAGGCAGGAGGTTGGTGCAGGTTGAGGATGAGTTGCCCCAGTCATATATAACTGTACCGTGAGGTCTCTCAGAAGTCTGTCTGGAAGGGACCCCAGAAGCCATCACGTCCAGCCCCTGTTCGAAGGAGGGTCGTTCCCGGTCTCAACTGTTCCAGGCAAATGCTTATCCAGCCTGTTAAAAACATCCCGGGGTCCCCACTGTTCAGCCTCTCTACATGCTCTGCTCCAGAGCTGCCCCTCCCCTGGAGCTGGCGAGTTCCTTGTAATGCCCAACCTAAGCCTCCCTCAGTGTGATTTAAGGCCATTGTTACTTCTTCTCTCCCCTGCGGGCACCAAGCACAAATGGTCGGCAAAGGGCATCTGCCCTTACCCCTCAGGCTGCTGCTTTCTTAAATGACGTTGAAACCGTGGCCCCGGCCTCGTCCTTTCTGCAGCATGTCCGAGCAACGGCCGGGGCAGGGAAGAGCCTGAGCTTCCTCGCATGTCTCGAGTTCTCCTGGGGTTGCTGACAGGTCTCTGTTCAGCACTGAGGCTGGCTCGTCCAACGTGGGCAGTGACAGGAAGCAGAGCTGTTTCTTGGGTGTGCCTGAGAACAGCTCTGCCACCAAGTTTTGGCCCCCCAACGTGTGGATGTGGGAGGAAGCGTTGATGTGCTCTTGCAGGTGTTAAGGTGGCCTGGTACTTCCCCTGTGGCTCTGAGGTACTTGTGGTCAACCAGACCTATAACTTTTGCTTTCAGTTTCCCTGCTGCCCCAAGCATGTACTTCCCTATCTGCTGTAGATGGCTTAACCTTGGTGTCAAGCACGAGCCCAGCAGAAGGCCTGAGACCTGCAAGCAAGAGCTTAGTTTTCACTCCCTTCTGGTGCCTGCACCATTCCCTGTCTGCCTTGCTCTGTTGTATTAGAAGTTGCTTAGGGCTTGCATTTCGGGCTGGCTGTGCAGGTAACGTTCACCCACACATCTGTAACCAGGAAAGCCATCCCCCCCCCCCCCCCCCCCCCCCCCCCCCCC